AATTGTTAAGGGTCGGATTATCGAATCACAACTGTATTTGTTAAGTGAATGTTTAAGCTTACCCTGCAGTTCATAGCAATTAAAATAAACAAAAAATATGAGAGTGGTTCATCAACTACAACCTTGATGTGAAAAACCACGTATTTAAATAGTGGAAACAGCATTTTGTTTACTTCCACTGTTTCTCATCAAAAATGACTTATTCTTGAGGTCTGTATGTAGGATGTATTTTAGCAGTGGCATCCCCCCCAAAAGAAGTTGAATTGTGTATCATTAAGATCCAGGTTTATTAGTTCTTTTCCATTGCTGATGTTTCCTCTTTGCTGAATGTGTCCTCGTGAACAATGCAAATGAAACATGGGACCACACTTTAAACACTTCACTGGATAGCTTTTTAGATTGACTATAAGCAAGACTTAAAAACATTTTGTTATTAACACAATAGCCACGATTAGAGAATTGCACATTTAGAGCAACAATTTAAAGTTATTATAGATAATCTACAAGAAATCTGGGAAACTGAACTATTACAAAGCTCTTTGTTCAGTAAATGCATTATTCAAGTGAAGGTATCCAAGGACTTGATTATTCCACCAAGGCAGATGTGAGCAGTGCCGTTTGTCTATAACTGTGCTTCTGTGGCAAATTTTTATGCTAATTTTGAAGCATCGTGTCAGAAAAAGTTCATAAAAACGAAACATTTTGGGGGAAAAAAAGCTACCCACATTTTTTAACGCTCACGTGATGCAACTTTTTGTGCTTTTAAAACAGAGTTAATATGCCTCATGGGAAACACAAACCTTCTCCGCATCTCAAAGGACCTCGCCCAGCTGGTCTGAGAACTGCTGCTCTTGCAAATTAGATAAAAGAAAGTTTGTGTTTCTGATTTTCTGGCTTTTCGTCACAATATTGAACTTTTACATTCCTCGCCCCAGAAATATATATTATTTTAAAAAAGCAGAACATCAACAAGTGCATTTAGAGGATGGAATGAATCGTGATCATCAGCTGCACAGAAACAAAAAGGCAAACTAATGAACACGGATCATCTGAGTGCAGACTACAAAGTCCTTCTGTTCTCTGCTTTTTCTTTTTGGAGGAACCTTAAATTGAACTTGGGTTTGCGACATCGCTCTGAGCGCGGGTGTGTGTGTATGAGAGTCCGTGCTTTCCATCTGCAGTTATGGCGAGGATTGAGCTGGTGTGACCTCTCACCCCCTAACCTTTCTTTTTCTTTGGCTTCACCCTTATACCACCACCCCATCTACTCCTAACTTCCTGACCCCCCTCCCTTGTCAGCTCCCTCTGAACAAACACAGATGATTAATAAAGATTTGAGGAAGCTTGGGAGAGGCATGGTGCTGGCAGTGGGGGGCCAAGTCAAGACGTACGCTCTCTGTGTGTGTGTGTGTGTGTGCGTGTCTTAGTATGTGTTGTGCGCTCATGTTGCACGCACGTGTGCTCGTGTGTGTGTGTGTGTGTGCATGTATGTGTACAAGTGTGCATTTTAGGGCAGAGGTAGTGGGAGGAGGGTTGACCACACTGGCCTTAAATGTTTACCAAGGGACCCCAGGAGGCCTGGGCTGAGCCTCCCTCTTTTCTGATTGGCTTAGGCGACTCTTCCCGTGAGTCTCAGGGTCTGCAATTGGCCAAGAGAGGGAGGAAAAATTAGGGACAAATGTGTACGAGATGGAAATGAAGCGTGGGTCTTGCCAGGGCTTTCACAGACGCTTTCACATGAGAAAAGGGGGAGACTGATGTCAGGATTAACATGAGGCCACATGTTGGAGCGAAGGGGCTGTTTGGCCCTCTGTTATTATGCTACGCTTCCTCTACTGATGAAAGACTTTGAAAGAAAAAGGGGGGAAGAAGTGAAACAATATTAAACCCACACAAAGGAATCATTTTGAATAATGATTTGAAAGCGCCGATCGAAGAGTCGTCGAGTAATTTAAGGGCGCTTTAGCTTCAGCTAGAAGATAAAACTGATTGATTGTAAAAAGCCGAAGAGAGCCGGAGACATGTCAGGGTCTGAGGGAATCTGAAGACGAGGCCAAGATGTCAAATGCAGAAAATGAGCCATACATAATTGTAAGTGGAGCATTTTAGTCGGGCCAGATGAGCCTGCTGCTTGTCAGCTCACTGCCATGAATTCTTGCATTGTATAACTTGGCCTTGTATGGCCCCTGGACTCTTGGAATTCATCCACACACACACACACACACACTTATGACTGAACTGTTATACTGATGGAAAAATCTGCTGCTCAGTGCATCAAGGAGTGCTTTTTGGTTACTACACGTTGACAACATGTTGCTTCGTCTTCATGCGTGCTTTGTGCAGTGTTTGTTTTTGCCTTAATTGCCCTTTTTGGTTGTTGCTTTTTTTATTATTATCTATCGTAAATCTAAATTCCTGCAGTAAATACGTGCCAGTGTTTGATAAAGTGCCGTTACACAAAGCGCGGTCGAACTTTACACAGGCATTTTCTTGCCCCTTGCAACCTCCAAACTTGTCAGTCTTGAAAATGTGCCCGAGGTGGACACGTCGTTGCTCAGTAGTTCTCAGCGTGTAAACATGACTCCAGAAATGCTGTGAAATAATCTGGCTTGTACCGTTTCTGGGCACAGCGCTGAGAGAAGATGAGATAAAGGTTTGATGTGCTACAGCTCCCCTTAAGTTCCCGACTTCTGCCTCAGACTTTAGAGCAGAAGTGGGGGAAAATACTGGCAGAAACATAACCTCCACATTTAGGGCTGTTGGCTGCCCAGCGACGTTGTGGAGACGCAGCTGTAAATAGCCAAGGGTGCGGACAGAAAAGTTTAGCCTAAATTTAGAGGTTGGGCTTAACTCGTAGAACTCGTCCGCTAACACCAGCCTATTGACCGAGAAGAAGGTTCAGGTTTTTTGTTGTAGTATTTTTATATACTGCTCAAAAGAAGTTGGGAAGCTGGTCCGGATGAGGAGCCATTCTGCACCTTTTTACACATTATTTTTCCCCCAGAGTGCCACGAGAGGACACAGCAGCCATTTTTTTTAATTGTTAATGGGAATCTGTTTGAAAAGCTGCTTTAATTCTTTTTTTTATTGCAATGACAATGGATCAAATCACTACATTTACAACCCCAGAGAGACTGATCATGCGACGTAGCTCTTCTGCTCCTCCTTAGTTCGGAGTATTTGGCATCTTGTTGTTTCGTTTTTACGGCCTACTGTTTCGGTTCAGCCTCTCTGTTCGTGACAACATTGTTTCCACATGCAGCGAACAGATGTTTCCACCGTCCCCCACCTCCACCTGAACGGCGTCAGACAAAGGTAGCGTCAAACTGGAGGATTGAGAATTTATCATAGAAGCCACATTTCCTCTCCAATAATTTAGGAGATTGAATCTTGCTCACTAGGTGGCAGGAGCCGTTCCACATGGTCGCTCTGTATCCGCTGCGAGTGTAAACAAACAAACTGTTTGCTATATTAAAATGTGATAATGTGTCAGTGTTGTTTAATCTTACCGCATGCTGTGTTACTGTGCACTTTTATTAATCGCTGCTCATAAACCGGAGTTGTGTTAACATGAACTTAGGTAATGTTTTTTTTTTTTTTTTAAATCGCGCCGGCGTCGCTGTCTGGCTCCGGGGGCAGCCTGCACAATGACAAAAGATTTAATTACCCGGATATTTCATTAACTATTAGTTGGTGAAATGGGTGGTTATGCGAGAGTTCTTGTGTTTCCAGTTCTTCTTCTCTGGTCTCCCATGTGAACGTGCAGAAAACATAGCGCTCAGTGTGTATTTAATATCATAGCTAATGACTTCAAATGAGTATAATTACATGTTGGCGGGACTTTTTCTTTTTCTTTTGCCAAATAAAGAATGAAAATTTCACAACACACGAATTCAACAGTGCCGCAGTAGGGAACTGGTATGATAATTAATCATGCCCCGTCTGGCGTTAGGTTTCACGTACACGTCCAGCTGAAAATAAATTGTTGTGCTTGCAGCGAGACAGAAAGACGGGGAGAGAGAGAGAGAGGGAGTGGGGGAAGGAGGGTTTTTCACATGGGCATGTCATCGTGGCTGATAATTATAATCGCAGTGTCTCTGTCTCGTTCTCCCCTCTGTCTCCCCTCCAGCATCATCATGGCTGTCTCGTCCCCCTCGTCCAACCTCCTGCTCCTTCTCCTCATTTCCTCCCTGGATTGGCTGTCCACTCCAGGATCTGCGTTTCTCATTGACTGGGACCACATGACATCATCAGGTAGGTTGGCGGTGTGTTTTTTTTATTGCTCTGCGTCCGTCCAGACGAATGAGAAGGAGAAATGGCGTGATGCGAGACAAATCAGTCATCAGACGGTTTGCGAGACTCTCTACGTGCCCCTCATCACACATTAACTAACGTGATTCAGGTTTTGCGCGCAACACGCTGTTGACACTCGTTATCGCGTCTTATGTCAGACATGAGTTGCAGAATGCTCTGTTTGCTCAGATGCATGTGGAAAGGGTTCACTGCTGAACAAACGTCGCACTTTCCTGATTTGGCTTGTCAAACAGGTTAGTGATCAATAGAGCTAGGGTAAACATATGGCTGGAGGGGGGGGCTTCTCTGTCAAAGTCCAGGGACAGGACGATGCAGGATGTTCAGCCAGCTAATCCGGCTGTCACTGAACCATTTGAAATAATTGGGTGAAAGAATGCTGCGGCTGGAGAAAACAGGCCCGATTTCAATATAATTTACCACTTGAAATCCCTAAAGCCAAAAGGCTGGCCAGGACAGGAATTTAAAAATCAAGTACTCACTGTCTTTTATCGCATCATTTCAACATCTACACTCAAATTCACACTTAAAAACTGACTGAAAAATAAATGAGGAACCTGCATCGTCCGGTGATGATCAAAGGAATTAGGTGAAAGTGCCAAACGCTGCAACCTTGGCCAAGAAAAGTCTTGTTTATTTAAAGTCTACCTGCGCTTGGACCAGCACATGATTTAGGGAAACGCTCGGCCAAGATCCAGCAATTTTTGAATGCTGATCAATTCTGCTGTTTAACTTTGTCAAAACATGTCCTCGCTTTAGCAGAGGAGAACGCTGCCGTCAGTTGTTTGGTGCCGCAGTGCATCTCTGGGTTGGTATTTTATGAGGGATTCCTCCTGGAAGATGGATAAGCAGCCACTTTCTGTTAAAACCTTTATTGTTCGTGGAGCTGGTTCAATTTGCATAAAGCTGACTTGACTCTCGTTCAAGAAATGAATTAATGGACTGTGCATTTTAGGCCGTTTAGTTGGCATCTGCTGGAGAACAGTTTCTTTCCTTCAAATTGAAATGGTAGAAAAGCAGAGCATGATTATTTAAAAATGGGAGATAATGTTGGTAAAAATGATTGAATTAGCAGCGTACCTACATGCTTTGGGCAAAATTACAAAATAAATAGCACTGAAACAATGAACCTGCTATTTGACTGTGCCGTCTGTGATAATGGGTGAATTGTTAAAGTAATTTATCAGGTAAAAAAACTATTAAGTCTCTTCTGCTAAATCCATTTTATGTACCTTTTGTTTCTTTTATTGTTTGCTTGCACTGGTCTACACCCATTTTGGTGTCAAAAGTTTTTTGAGCTGATTTTGGACAACTGCAATGTGCTGAATCCAAGTATTACATCGGTTTTACTCATCCATCCATCCATTATCTATACACCTATAATCCTCACTATGGTTATGGGGGGCTGGAGTCTATCCCAGCTGACTCAGGGTGAAGGCAGGTTCACCTGGACAGGTAACCAGTCTATCACAGGGCTACACTTAGAGACAGACAACCAAGCACACTCACATTCACACCTACGGACAATTTAGAATCACCAATTAACCTCAACATGTTTTTGGACCCTGTGAGAGGAAGCCGGAGAACCCGGAGAGAACCCACGCTGCACGGGGAGAACATGCAAACTCCATGCAGAAAGATTCTGGTGCCCCCACCGGGACGCGAACCGGCGACCTTCTTGCTGTGAGGCAACAGTGCTAACCACCGCTCCACCTTGCCGCTGGTTTTACTCAGTGAGGTCAAAATTTAGATTTGATGAAACATGCAATTCACTTGTATTTACCTTTACAAATGTTTAGGCTCATCAACTTTTGGATCATTTAGGTTAATGAAAAGGATTAGAAAAGGAAATTTTTCCTCTAAAAGCCGATTTCATATGATAAATACTAAAATAAATCAATTGCTAATGTAAAAAAATCTAATCGATTTAGTGGCAAAAGTCGAGTTGGCCTAAAAACCTGACCTGATACAGAAAAGCAGATGTCATTTTTGGATTCAGCGTTGCAAAAAATGTCCTAAATCAGTTAAAAAATATCCTAGACACCTTCAAAAAAAGTATTTTTTGTAACCTAGCGTTATCCTCAACTAAGCTCTACTTAGTTCTACTTAAAGTAACATCCAATTGTCATGCAGCTAATAATATTGAAAGCATTTGGCAGCACAGTAAAAGTTGTCCTTGATATACACTTTGGCAAGACGGCATCCAACGAGGGTATTCTTGGGTGCATCTGCTCACTGCCATTAAGAGGTGAGCCAGACAGCATTAAAGAGAGAGACCTGAGAAATCTCCAAACCATCTCCGGGCAGCTCGCCTGCCGCCTGCAGCACCTGTTGTCAGAATGGAGAGCATGTGTGTTACCTGGAGAAACCCCAGCTTTGTTTTAATTAAAGCCCGACACCTGCACGTGCGCTCGTTACGTGTAAATTCTCCATTTGCGTCGTTGCCATGTTTTCGTAATGGCGCTACCTTGAAAAGAGAGATCACAAGTGTCGGGACGCATCATGGCTGTGGAAAGCTATGGCTTGACTTGAATGCTGTTTAACTTATTAATAGTGCAGTTGACAGCAATAGACAATTAATTTTCTTAATGTTTTCCTGCTTAAGCCTCCACATCATGACTTGATAGGTGACTTGAGGTGACTTGATAGTCAAAGCGGTTGGAATGCTTTCAAGTGGCCATTCCCAGCAGGCCTTCACCCTCACTGCATGCCACTCCGTTGCTTTCTTCTCCAACGTTTCCCATCTGTCTCTGCTGATCAACAAAGGCCCGAAAATCATAAAACCAAAAAGCATCCGCAGCCTATTTGACGTGGCTGACGTGTGTTAAGTGTGCAGGGTTTTTACCGGATTTAGGTTGTCACTTTAGGACTCTGTACAAATATTTGCATGTCATCATATGAAAGACGGCAAACTTTAGATGCAGCCTTTTGCTGGTAAATGACCAACAAATGGAATCAGCTCATATTTTTTTTCCAGCTACGATTTTGCCATATTTTTATGGCATCCTTGAAATAGTTTGGCACTTTACTAGGGCACTTCTTTTTTTCTTCTTTGTGTGGGTTTAGTGAAAAACAGCTGTAAATACACCACTGGAATCCACTAGAGAATGCCAGCTCATCTGGTCTTCCTCCGCCAAGTTAAGATCAAGTCCGCACCACGCTGCTTCTCTTCGGGTTGTCTGAGGAAAATTGTTGTCATTATTAATCCTGCCTGCTGATTGATTCATGTTGTCGACTCACACTCGGATCCCTGGTTTTTTGCTCTTCGCGGTCGGTTGTGCAATCTGCGGCTTTCTAAAATGCAATGATCAGGGAATAATAAAGTTAAAGCTTCCCCAGCTATTAGTTGGTTAAGTTGGTGGGCTCAAGTGGTGCAGACTTTTGAAAACACTTTGTGTTGTGAACATATTCTACTTTGTCCTCTTGTTTCATCCGTTCTGGTGCCAGCGCTGGTACAACAGCAGCCAACAATTACTTCACAGATTTTGGTTGCAAATCAGCCCGTGCTCGTTTCCTCCCGGTGAACCTGTTAATCCGTGGCTTAAAGCTGATCTGCGTTAAGATACTGTGAACATTTGGATTATGCGATCGTGGCATTCTGATTCATTCTTGGTTGTTGCTGCCTCTTGGTCATGACTTCCAGAACAGCTTGTGATGGGAGAGAAGCAAAGCGAGCGGTTTGGATAACATGTGAGAATTACTGCATCTCAGTCGTTTGCGCGCCGTGTATAAAATAGGGGCAATTATTTATATCATAATTATAATGTGTACTAGTCACACAAGAAGCTGCTTTCAACACAGCTGCTTCTGTTTACAACTTAAGATGCCATCAAAAGCGCTGGTGTCAAACAGACCGATGTGTCAGCACTGTGTAGTTGGTTTATTTGTGCAGCCACGCAGAGTTTGGAGCGCTGCGTCTTTGCCTTTAGGTCTTTTGACTTTGTATTTGTTCGCAAACTGCAGTCTTTACCTTTCTGATAAGCTTTCAGACAAACCTCTGATAACCGGATGAGGTCAGTCCATCAAACGTTCCGATTGGTTCCCCCTCCTTCGAACGTCAAAATGGTCTCCAGTGAGCACTGTGGTAATGTAGCCCTGGTCTTCCTCAACAACCGTTAAAACATCTGTAAACACAAAGCAGACAGTGATAGCGTGAGCAAACACACGCAGCCTGTGCCTTTCTCAAGCTTTACACTGTAAAACCTCCAGCCCCGACAGCTGCTTTCTCCACTCGGCTTTACACTTAAAATGTTCTATAAGTGACCTGTAATGCGCCGACCTTTTCTCTTCCACGCATGTAGTATGTTGCGGTAATAATGCACTCTTGCTGTGAGTAGCCCTCAATATTGTGCTTTTGGGGTTATCTGAAACCATCTCGTTGTTCCACTTATGGACCTTAAAGAGCCTTCCTGGAATTCTGTTACTGCAGCATTTTTTATGTCTGTTGTCAGGCCAGCCGCAGAACAAGCCAAGAGTAGACATTTGGAGATGCTCCTATGTAGTTAAAGGCTTACCAGAGTCATTACAGGCAGTGTTACTCGCTTGACTCCATCTGCCCTCGAACAACACTCATTTTCTCGCGTCTCTCCCCCCAATCTTCCCTGAGTGTCTCTCTGCGTGTCTCGGGAGTGCTCACAGCTCAAGGACGTAGATTGATCCTGTTGAGCGAGGTTGTGTTCTTGGCCACAGAGGTGGTAACCAGTGGTAACCGTGCAGAGGTTTTTTGGTCCGCCTGGCTTGCACACACAATCTACAGTTACATCTGCTTCAAAGACGAGCAGTGGGTGTGAGCGGCGAAGTTGGGGCCTTGTGTGGGATACGTTGCCTGAAGTTAAACACAAAGTTGCTGCATAATGGCAGGATCGCTGCAAAGAAGCAGATTCGACAGCACCGCTCTGCATCGAGGAAACATGGACTAATTTTAACAACTGTTGTTTTAAAGG